CATTTACGCTTCAAACGTCTCAGATGATTTTCAGGTATTGTGGGAATGGCAAAGTATTTTATTATTTGATTTGGAACTAATGAATTTATATTATTTTTATTAATGTGAATAAATTACAATATTGTCAAACATATTCATTTAAATCTCTGAAACTATTAATTATTTTTTGATGATTATTGGATGTGATACTTGAGACTACAATTCGAGCACTGATTTATTGACAYAACAATGGTAGAAACTCTGGTAAAAGGCAGATAATTCTCACTAAAAAAATAATTAAAGTAAACATTTGTAAAACTAGTTCCCAYCCCTCTCGCAAACTAATTAATGTAATACTATAGACAAAATAAAAAAAAAAWGTTCAAAACATATTATACTTATACTTAGTGTAATAACATTTTTGTAATATGTTGGTATAAAATGCACACTTGTATTTCTGCCACTCTCTACATCTGCTGCAAATGTATTTAAAATGTTTTTTTTTGGTAGTTGTATTTGATATAATATCTATTTTAATAATATTGTATATTGTGATATGATTGCTAAATGTTACCAATTTTTAAAATAAACAATAAGGACAATGGGGGTATAARCCCCCTTTAGCCACCCCTGGCTAACCTCTGCATGGTTAAATACTCGAACTTACAATCGTGTTTCGATAAAGAAAAGCGTTAAATAATTCAATATAATTATGTAATACAATAAACTATAATACGTATTTTATAGGCGCSAACAATTTGCCGACGAGCCTTTAACACTGTTAAAGATATTTAAGGGGAGTAGCYCCACCTCTCCCCTAAAATGTTAATCTCTTGTCCACTCCATTATATTATGATGGTTGTGCTAATGTGCGTTACGACCGCAGCTGATACACTGCTGCAGACTGCAGAGTGCAGACGAAACACCTCTCAAAACGAACCGGAGAGGAAGAATATAAAATAATGATAATATCATCTATACATAATATGTGCTGTGTGCATTTTAGATGTGCACGCACAAAATTGTACATAATGTAGGTACGAGGCGGCGATTTATCGATTTTGTGTTTTGGCGGCGCAATGGCGGCGTTGACGGAGGCGGCGGCGGCGGGYCGCTCGAGTAACCAAGGTCACGAGAGAACACCCGCCAGCGGCCCCGGATATTTAACTACAAGTCTGTTATATTTGGACAGACATTGTCGAACGTACCGTCGTCGCAACTGCACGCGCACTATATTATTTAAAAAAACGATTCATTAAATACATCGTATTGTAATATAATATTTTAAACTTTTAACTCGTGYGGCTAATCGAATTCACGTCCAACATGTTTAACTTGGGAGGAGGTGAGTGTATACATTTTTTTTACGGTTTATCGTTTCAATTATATATATTATGTTATTTTTGTCGATTTCTATATCTATAATGCGCTGGATCGACACAAATTATAAAATATACCTACTGCTTACCTAAGTAGGTATTATTTTATTAAACTCGCTCCGACCAAAAATCGCGGATTTGCCTGAAACTGTATCTTGTATTCTACGTCTGTAATAGTAACGTCTTACGATATGATTTTACATCGATTCACATCTCTCATCGAAAAATATCGACAAATAAATATACTCGACGATACGTAACCTCGTGTATTAATATTATAAACACTTTTTGTGTTTCTTTGTGCGAGCGTCGCGCGAATCGTCACGATCTCGTCGAAAACCGGTCACACAGACCGCGACGTATTATTGCGGTTTTATTATGATTTTTTACGAGTACCCGAGACCAATCAACTAACAAACTCTCAGTGGATACGACAATAATTATTTCATAATCCGTAATAAGTTACAATAACTGCGTTATACTAATAACAAACGATATAATGCGTAACAAGTCGACCGCTGATCGAAAACGCCGCGAACATTGTGAATATTATGCGTTTTACCCGAGACTGCGACTACTTTTAAAGATACAAATAAACGGAATAAACAGTTCTCTTTACTGGGCTATCCTTGAGCCGCGTTATTTTTTTTTTTTTTTAGCGGAATTCCGTATGCGCAAACACACACGGGCGCACGCGTTTTTTTACTTGTCTAAATAATATTAAGCCCGAAGATTTTAAAAGAAAAAATTGGCTTAGTGATAGAAACGTATATTATTATTCGAATTTGACGTCATGTAGCGGTTAGTCGTATAAATAGACGGCACGTATAAATATAGTATATATTATGTGTATAATAATATTGTATACAATAATAATATATATTATAATATCATATGTGCACGTATGCAATGATCGTGTTATAACAGTGCTAGCATATATCATCTATCACGGCCATAAAGCATTCAATATAATATATATAATTATTGTAGGAGCAGGCTTTTCGAATTACATTTCATGCCTAATATATAGTAACATCTTTATGTATACGGCCTTGCCGTTAGCAGAGTTGATRTCGTTGGTGCTCTAACAGGAAATTAGCTTTTTATAATATAATTATTATTATTTGTCATCCTMGCAATCGACCGGAATTTGTGCGATTGCATTTTACCGGCATTTGTGGCAAAAATAATATTCAATTCGATTTGAACAAAACACTGGTCTGCTTTACCAGCATTTGACGTGAAAATAATATTCGATTTGATTTGAATAAAACGCTTAGGTGCAGCTTTTGATGCTCGTCATTAAAACCTAAACGTTTTTCTCATGGAATCCGAAATGATGTTTTTAAAACAGGTTTTTTCGCATAATTTTAATGTTCCTACATTGCGCATTTTCATAATATCGTATCATTTGAAATATAYACATGTAGCAGATCATAAGTGATTATTAAAAATTTATACATAATCATTCATAATCATTCTTCAATTACTTTTATTCTTATACACCTTATACACATTACACATAGAAACAAATGTCTTAATATTATAAAAAAAACTCTGTGAACTCCGAATTCAGTAAGTATTTTTTATCCAGGAGTTCAGAATTCCTTTGTAAGAAACAAAGCGAACAATATATTACAACTGGAGAGTATTTAATCCTACACGTGCTTATGGAAATACAAWAATGACAGTCCTAGAGTAAGACGGATTGTTTTATGTAGGTGTCTTTAGACCATCGGATAGAATAAAATTATATTTTTACATCTAAAAATGACTTGGTAATTATTTACGCATTAACGTCGAACGAACTTTAGCACCTACCTACTTACTGGTAACAACGAYCTGTTAACAACGTACATTTCAWMTTCGTTTAAGTCAATTATTATGGCGAMGTAAAATTTGAAATGTGTTGTGAAATATAATATTCATATAGRTAACATACCTATATAGTTCAGGAATCTGATTTCGAAACTTCACTTATTTGAGAAATATGTCTGTTTATACAAGAAAACCATGTTTCATTATAATTAAAATACCTACTTTTCAGTAATCGAGGAATTGAATTTGTCAAACTTATGTATGTTTTTATTTTATAGCGATGAAAAATATTACAGCAAAAGCTGAAGAATTAGTAGAGGAAAAGAAACATGCTGCAACTTCACTTCTTGAAAAACAAGTATGTTAATAATATTAAGTGGTTAAATAAAAATTAATTTAAAATAAAAATTCCATTTAATAAAAATCATCATGTTATGTTTGTTACATATATAGTAGATTTTTCTCATTTTTTTGAACACTCTAGTTTTCATATATTATAAACATTATAAGAATGTAATAGATCATAAAGAAATTGACATATTTTCCATATGAATAAATGTAAATATCATCGATAATTTCCGTATTTAATAAATCAAATGAAACTAAAAAATAACTGTATTAGCATCAAAAAGTAAGTTCCCTGGTATTTTTTATTTACATTTATTTCAGTTTTGTTAAGTGAATCCTTATATAAAATATATTTATATATATATATTTGTTTGTCTTTGGATGATCGAGCTCAGTCTATGAAGTAAATCTGAATTTACTTCTTCTTAATTTTTTGAAAATTAATATTTAATAAGTTCCATTGTATTATACAATTAGGTCTATCGACTATCATTCAATTTTTTATGCAAATATAGTATTACAGAAATATATAATAGTTGTATGACCTTGTATTAATGATGCGTTATAAATCTTAGTATAGTGGAAAACAAAAAATATAAATAAAAATGAGAAAATAATGTATTCTGACAAGTTAATACGTTTTAATATATTCTATCCATAATCCATGTTGAATTTGTATAACAACTTTTGTTAAATCATATGATAAACTTCATGAAAAAACCTGTATTTTCGTGGGATGAGCTTCATTGTTTTGATCACAGATTATACTGCCTTCAAATTATGTCAGTAATCAATAAACGTATGTATGTAAAAAAAGCATGTGCCTATATATTTTTAAGTACATTAACAATTCATCGTTTATAGTTTTAATATGAACTAATAATTTTTTTTAATTTTAAACTACTTGATTCAGTTTTTAACTAAGAGCATTTTCGACCCTTTCCATTTTGAGTCTATTTAGTTCATTTTCCAGTGATTTTAAAGTTATAAGAACTGGGTTGTTCAGAATCAGAGGTTTGAGAGGGGGTCTGTGATGTTGAATAAGAAGTTAATACGTAAGCAATATGGTAGAAATGGCAGAAYGAGAAGATAAATGTGTGCATTTTTAAACATACTACTTGTTCAATTTAAACTAAATTTTAAAAATCTTTTAGTCTTCATTTTCTTTATTATATTATTGTGACTAATAATACTTTAACTTCATAATATTAATGGATTAAAAAAGTTTTCCATAAAAAGTCATACGGAATTTATAAATACGTATATTGCAAATTTTACGAATTTAACAGATGCTAATAAAACAATTTACAGTCTACAATAATAATATCAATTTTCAATATAAATTTCAAACAATTATTAGATTATTTTACGATGAGAGTAAAATAACCAGTTGTGGTGACATCGTAAATCTCAAACAAGAGCTCGAGGTAAARTTGTTTTTTACCCCCCTCCTCTGAACGTTCCTGTATGATGTATGTGGCTTATACAGATAAACAATTTATGTTGACATCATATACGTACAGTTAAATATTCATACATGATGTACATGTACCTATTATGTATTATAAWTATTTTCACATTTGAATTAGCTTTTGTGCTTCTTAACTTGTTATAGTTCATATCAATTTGTACTATTTGTAGTCTGTACCAATAATTTTAAATTAAAATATTAAAGTATAGAAGAATACAACCAATTTATTTTGGGAATGTTTCATGTTTTAGTTTTAAAGTTCGAAAATTGTAACTATACACATTTACAGAAAAAATAATCTATACCTATAGTTTATTTAGATATATAAATTGGTTTTATTTGGTAAATTCGTAATATCAATATAATAAAGTAAAGCTCGGTGAATAATAAGACACAATGTTCTCTTAAAATTTTTTGTTGTCATTTATAGAATTTAATATGGGTATGAAATGTTCAAAATTGGAAGCATAACACCAATTCATACGTGATAAAGATAAAAAACAATAAATTTTATTGTGGTGGCTTTTAACATAATAATCTATTTCGATAATTGTTAATTGTTATTATTCTTTTACGATTTAATGTATATATGTGTATATATTATTAACTATTTATACTGATAAATATTAGACATTGATACGTAACCATTTTACATAAGTTGTATAAAATACATGAATAAATTGCAATAATAATAATAATAATTTATGTATTATTAATAAATCATTTTTTCATCGTACCATTGTATTGTATAATATTGTTTTTTACAAACAATGCTGTGACAAAGTGATACAAAGTATATACACATATCATATACACTTGCGTTGACTATGAAATTCTTAGGTAAAAGAAACCGGTGAGTTTTTATCTAACACTCTCAACGAGGCAGAAGGCAAAGCTGTGAGCGCCGCTGAAGAGGCGAAAAAGGCAGCTGTGGACGGCTTTGACCAGGAGGTCGAAAAACTTGCTGATAGTGCCTTACAGGAGGTATTAGATGGGGCTTTATGGATTATGATATATTGCTAGCTGAACCTATATATAAAAGCTTATAGCGGAAATAATTTGTTTATCAAACTTGGGCTTATAAACACAACATTCATATTTATATTTTGCATTTTATTTTGATCACTGTGCACGATTATTTTAATATAATTTTTTTATACTTTTATGTTACAAAATAATTTGATACTACTTAAACCGTGTATCGAATGGCTTTGTCTGTAATTATTATAATTTTTTTGTAGACTTCTAAACATGATATTGGTGGTGGTGGTTTATTAGGTGGAGTTAAGAACTCAATTGGTCATGTTGCTAATAAAGTGGAGGTCAGTATACCGTAGAAGCAAAATTTAATGAAATTGTATACGAGTTTTTACAAAGAGACCGAACAAATATGTTTTAAAAGTTATAACTTATAACTGTTGAGGTATGRTTTAAAAAAATTGTTTGTACCAGGTAGAATATTATTTTTATTATAATTTTACTATATATAAAAAAAAAAAATACAACACATAATTTATTATTGGTGTTTGATTATTGATGAATGATTATTATTGTCGTATTATATAATATTATGTTAGAAAATGTAATTAAAAAACATGCTATTAGGAATTCCTTTAAAAATATTTCATATTTTATATTAATTATTCTTTGGAAAACTATTTTCATGATTACCTTAGTTTTGTTAGTAAAAAAAAACTTATTTTAATGTTGTTTAATGTATGATAACATTGTAGATTTACTGATCTAGGAAGACTTTACATACAATGTGTATGACATATAATACAACGAAACTGAATGATTGTATTTATTATTTTATTAAGTGTGTTATTTAACTTTTTTTTTTATTGAAATTTATTATCACGAGTATTTACAATAATTATTGTATATTTTTATATACTATTATCGGTTTTGTTATGTACTTTACTACTTTGCATTTATTATCTATAATAATTATTTTATGGGTTAATTGCGAACGAAATTTCGAAATTCTTATGTACGCGCTGTTATATTATATACGTTTATACTATATAATATTAAATTGTATACTGTTATAGTCTGGTGGTAGTCACGCGGGCCTTGATTTTGGTTCACTGATCGGAAATACGGTTAGAAGCGCCATAGCTACACAAATACCCGTAAGAATTCTTGCAGTGTTGTGTGTTTAAATTTTTAATGTTGTTAACATGTTTGTCGGTGTCTTAAAGTATAAAACTCGCATATAACGATAATACAATAATGTACACCTATTACCTATATATATATATAACCAAGTTAAATTTTTTGATTGCAACCTTGCTTGTGTGCACGTGTGTTTGATTCTGTGTAATATTTTAGCATAATATCGAGGGTTCGATGCACAAATTAGAAGGCGCAGCAAGTGCGGTAACCCATAAATTAGATGATTCAGTTGTTGGTAAGGTAGCGCATTCGGTAGGTGATAAAGCTCATCAAGTGACTGATAAAGTCCACGAAGCGGCCGATGGGGTTATTCACACTGTGGAGGGAGTCAAAAGTACGGTAAAAGAAGTCGGCAACGCGGTTAAAGGAGTCTCCAGTATGATTCAAAGCACTACCAACGGAATGGTAAATACAGCACAAGGGATGGTTAACACGCTAGGYGTTATAGCTGGAGGRATGTCCAACGCAATGGGTAGTATGACCAACGGTATAAACGGCATGCTTAAYGGAAGTATCGCTGCTTCGAGGATTGCTATTTTGTTAGCGACCAAGGTCGTACCTGTGGCCACGACCGTTCTCAACCAGACGTCTAAAGCCACAGGACTTATATTTGGCAGAGTGGTGCCCAAGGTATGAGTTAACGACTAATCTCCCCATCCACCGAAACACACCTTCTGACAAAAACAATGTACATCGGTTTGTAATAACGCGGGCTGCAGTGTYGAGACGAAAATATTTCGGTTCATTATTATTTTTTTACAAGTATACTTATCAGATATTCTGAAACAAAGAAGCACAATATAATCTTATGAAATAATTTTCTTTGAACACTTTTAATGCTTCTAGCAGCCCTTCGTTAGCGTCAAAGATAAGGTTTGAGTGAAGTCTATTTTGTATCTGTTAGAGTTTCATTATAAGTTATAATCTTTTTTTTCTTTTACTAAGTARGTACTTACTAGATATTTTTCAAGACGATTTGTGCGTGACATAGTGTGATAATAATACAATAGTGTTACTATCACTGCTCCTATTCAGTTTTTCCTTTTAATTTGTCGATGGTTCAAAATTAATTTTATCTTGATCAAACAACAATGTGCTTAACAGTTAACGTCCAATTTTTTTTTCAAATAAGAGTTAAAACAACACGAAGGTGGGAAAAAATTCAACTTGGTTTTTAAAAAGTTGAAAGAAATCAATAAAAAAAAACACAATACGTAATTTCGTTTTAGTTCTGAATACAGATAAAATATTTTACTGCCTATTTTACACTGCCCGTGAGTTTTGATTGCAAATGAGTTGGCTATTGAAACCCTTCGAACCGATATCTATACAATATTTGTACACGAAAGGCGTTTAAAATACTTATTATAAGAGTATGAGAGAACGAATTTGCATAGGATGAAWATATTGAAATGATTGGCAATTGCAGAAAAAATACTATGAATTCTCTAATATTATAATATAATGAAGATGAAATGTGGTCGGAAAAAGGAGTAAGTTGTAGTAGGTATATAGTAATTGTACTGCAAAAACAACACATAGGTACAATACACGTACACTAACACGTATTAACACACCACTGTCCCCGAATAACATGCATTTTGCTTTGTAGATTGTTTGTTTAAATGTTTGTTGTTTTTTAGTTTGTTGATCGGGTCTCTAACTGTGTAATACAATAAGCACATTAACACGGTGGTACGGATTTGAAATCAATAATGGTTGAATCTATRATATGTAYCTATTCGAATTGCCAAGAAAGATAYATTTTATGATGTTTATGATCTGTATAATCTTTAAAATATAATGCTCTACTCACATAAAATTWAAAAAAATATTATCCTATAATATTAAARAAACAAGCTTATTACAATATCATGTATCTACAGATTTGAAAGTCCAAAACTATAAAGGTGGTATAAATGTGTTAAACGATTTTGTTTTTTRTTTATTTTATTTTGTTTWATTTTTGTTATAATATTACCTACTATATTATATTGTTATTTATATTTAAATAAATGTACGCTTTATATAAATAAGTGATAAAAATTTTAAATATCTACACTCTACAGACAGAAATCATATAATATATCATCATTATCTCACTGCAATTTATATTTCCCAGAAATTCATTAACCTAATAAAATAATGAAAGTCGTGATATTACTTATAACTTTATAAATAATATTGCAATAATGGTATATTATGCWAACTCTAATAATTTAAAAACGCTTAATATGTTATACTGTACCGAATCTTATCCAAGTTTATTTGATTTATTCGTTAATTATTTTTTTCCGACGGGCCTTTATAAATAAAGTGTCTAAGACGTATAGATAATCACGATCAAAAATTTACTACTTAATAGMCATAATATTTCATTACCTACTCATGAATCATGATATTATGTAAATATAAACTTCCATAGACATTCATACGATGGACGGCTCGTTGATTTGCTGAAAATTAAGAATTCCGGTTCACTTATTAGTTATCGTAGAGTCTTCGTAACAAAAAACTATACATTATCAATATAATTTAATATTATTACTCAGAAACTGATCATTTATATTACTACAGAAGAGATTTTTTTTTCTGATATTTTCATTTTGACCCTTTAGAGTTCGGGGAATCAAATATTTGAAATACCTTGGAAATATTAAATTTTGGTTACATGAAAAATAAACGGGACACTAAAATAGTACGTCTGGTGGCAATCCTTATAGGTATTACGCGGTATAGTGTAAAATATGTATAAAATACAATATCAACAGTAAGTAGCTTCTGGTTAATATTATGTTTCGTAGCATAATAATAATAATAATAATAATAATAATAATAATAATATAAAAAATATCTTGCAAGAAGCTATATGTATATAATAATAAAGTCGTGCAGGTATATAAAGTGTATATTATAGGTATATGCGCATTTTGTGTTGCCTGTTCTTTAAATCGCGTGGAATTTTAGATTCGAACAATACAATCGTGACGTATGATCGATGCACGGAATGTGGGTTAACCGTACGAACTAATGGTAATAGTATATCATTATGGTGTTTTATTTTATTTTTTATTCTCACCATGTATTATTTCCCGGCTTCTCAAGGTTATTATGCTCGGCGATTCGCCAGTTTAAATGACCACCGAATCGCGTGATGGTGTGTATTAATTTAACATTGTTTAAACTGGAATTCGGTCATTTGTTATCGATGTAGCGTAGTATATTAATTATTTACCGAGTCGGGCGAAAGGAATACCGACAAATGACAATATAACTCGAGCATAATATTTAGATAAATATGTATAACTTACTGATAACACAAATATTTCAAAATTTTTAAAGTGCCTTCAGTGGAGTGTTCATGGACATAATAAAATTGTTCTCCTTATAAGTCAATATTACATAATAATATAATATGCTTATTCAGATTATCTACTATCGTAACGGAATCATTAATATAAGTCCATTTTTATATTAATTAATGCAGGTATTGATGAAATCATTATTGATTTATAGTTAGTATTTATATGAGAATTAATGTTCTATAAATACGTCTAATTATACGTTAAAAAAATTAATATAATAAATTATTGGTAATAAATATACGAAAGATATTWAAAAAATCATAAAATAATATCCAACAAATGTTAAATATAAATTATATATCCACAGATTAGAAAATGTTATAAATTATAAAATA